GGAGCCGGCTCCCCGCCTCCCGGTGCGCCCGCGGCTCGGGCGCTCTGCGCGGAGCGGCGCGGACGCTTCGTTGTGCAGAGACCCGACGAATGAATTGAAGCGCCTTTCTGTTCAGGGTTGGAGAAGGATGGAGTACCTGAGGGACTGCGCCAGCCGCACCCCCGGACACGTGTGAGTGGCGGCGCTTTCCGAGCTTTAATCGAGTCGGGGAATCCTGCTGTCGTGACTGGGCACGACCTTTGGTGCTGGGGGAGAGGTTCTTGTGTCCGAAGTGGCACTGACATGAGTTATTTCCTTAGAAAATCCAAGTCAATTTAGTTATAAAATTGGTTCTAGTAAGTGCAGTGTTTTAAGAAGGTTAAAATACAAAGTGCGTGCATCCTTGTAGATGGACGCTGTCCAGCATGTACCCATTAGCCAGTGTGGCTATTGAAATCATAATAAAATTAAATATTCTTGCACTGTCCTACTAGCCACATTTCAGGTGCTCGGTGGTTACGTAAGGCTAGTGGCTGCCATTCGACAATAGTCAAATTTTTCTTTTGGACAACATTGTTCTTTATTAGTAGCTCTCAAAATTTTTCTGCTCCCAGTACACGTAGAATTGTGATACTGCCATTACTTACAGTGAGTTACTCTCTGATAAAAGTATTTCTGCTCTGGGTAATCGCTTATATTTTTGCAATCCCTATGTGTCCTTTTTTTTTTAATTGCTTTTTAGGTAGTATATTGCTGTCCAATTACTATTGGAAATGATTTAGATATGAGTTACACATTTTCCGTAATAAAACTTCTAAGGTATGTTCATCGAAGAGACGGTTTTAAGGCGTGTTTATCAAAGATGTACTCTCTTTTATTGTAGTGTTTTCTTCTGCTGCCTAACTCATTAATTAAGCTATGTCATCGGTAGGTCCCGAGTAAATGAACTAAGTGACTAGTGATCAGAACAAATAGGAGGTCCAGTATGATGGGCAGATTTTTTTTGGTTGGTGCTGGAGGTTGAGCCCAAGGCCTTCACCTTGAGCTACGTTCCTAACCTCGCCCACCCCCCCTTTGTTTCTCACCTTTTATTTTGAGACAGCATCTAACTAAATTGCCCCAGCTAGGTTCAAATTTGAGGTCCTCCTGCCTCAGAGAGGTGGTATTTACCCTGTCCTCTTCCAGGCCCACCTTATCTTCTACATCTTCAAGATCCTTTGTTTCTCTGTCCTTTCTTTGTGGAGCCAGGGCCTGACTGTGTAGTCAGGGTGGCCTTGAACTCTGCTGTGTATCCCAGGCTGGCCTCTAAGCAGTCCTGCCTCAACCTCTGGAGTGCTGGGATTACAGGTGTGGTCTGCCTTGCCTGGTTGTGTCTTTTTTTTTAAAGCCAGAAATATTATGGGTTAACTTGAAGGCTTTTGTTTGTTTGATAGTTTTTAAAAAGCAGTATGTTTATAAAATATAATTTTAAAAATTTATCTTTCGTTTATTCAAGCTTGTGCTGTGAGTGTGGTGTCCCGATTAGTCCAAATCCTGCCAATATTTGTGTGGCTTGTTTGCGAAGTAAAGTAGACATCAGCCAAGGTATTCCAAAACAAGTGTCGATTTCTTTCTGCAAGCAGTGTCAAAGGTACAGTGCATTATAGTTTTACTCTACTTAAAGTTGTGACTTAGAGAAAGAGAGTCACTGGGATATGCTGGGATTATTGCAAAATGCACAGAATAAAGTTTATGCAGTGGAGATTTAATTTTTATTTGTGTTGGTATTGCCAAAGATTTTAGAATTTGCAATTTTATATTGTACTTTTCTAGTTTACTCATATGGTAAAGAGAGTGTAAAGGTATTTGAATCAATTCCATTTTTGTTAAAGGATTTAATAGGTTTGACGTATGTAACTGGAAAATAGGAGTTGATGTTTGTAAGGATAAATGAGCAATTTGTGAAGGACATTAATGTTATTGTCATGAATTTTTATCAGTTAGTAGAAGCTGTTTGCGATAAACAGCACCTTATGTTTTAAGTAACTTATTAATACGTTTTAAGAATTAAGGTTCACAAGTGTCTTAGGCACTCTTTTATTACTGGTACCTGACAGCTGCCAGTTAAAATAGGAGAGGATTTTAGCTCACGTTGCTGTTCCATAGTGAGCGGGCTCCAAGGCAGGATGCATGGTAGAGGAGCATTGTGGAGGAGGAGCTGCCGACCTCTGCTTGTGTGAAGGTGGTGGGGAAGCAGAATCAAGGGAAGGGAGAGGGAGAAATGCCCTTCCAGGCCATGCCCCCATTGCCTAAGCTCCACCCAGCAACATCACATTTAGCCCTACACTCATTAGTAATCTCATTCACTGATGATTATCATGCTCCCATGATCCATTCACCTCCCCAGAGCTCCATCTATAAGTGCACGAAGCTTTTGGGGAACACTAGATAGAAGACATAACAAGAAGAAATTAAAGTGAGTGTAGTGTATGCAAAAGAAATGCAGTAAATCATGTGAAATGGTCTGAAGTAAAGACTGAGATTGAAAGGATTTAAATTTTAATGAGATTTTACCCAAGATTTTAAAAATTGAATCGTGCTACTTAAAATTTTAAAAAGGACTTAATATATAGATGAATAATCTAATCGTGTTGTGATGTACTAATCTGCCTTTTTGTGAGAAATAGTTCTCAACATCTTAGAAGTGCAGAATACATTATTTTAATATCATTTTGAGATGATTTTACCTGTTTTTCAGAACATAGCTAAAAGGAACTTTTTGCCATTTTGTCATCCCTTCTGGAATTTTTACTCATAATTAAAGTAATAAGACCACTTTAACAGGTTCTCTCAATTGACATTTTTTTTCCCCAGCCTGGAGATTGAATTTAAGGCCTTCACACTGTGCTACATCTTCATCTCCAGCCATTTTTTTTTTTTTTTGGTACTGGGAATCGAACTCAGGACCTAGCCCAGGGATTATCATGGGAGCATGATAATTGTGATAATCACAGGCAGGTGCTGTACCTGAGCTGTCTCCCTGACCCCCATCAGTTGGCTTTCTCAATCAGAATTTTACCTTTTTTTTTTTTTTGGTTTTTCTCCGGTACCGGGAACCGAACTCACGACCTTGCGCATGCCAGGCAGGCGCTTTTGCCGCTGAGCTAAAACCCCAGCCCCAGAATTTTACCTTTTTAAGCTAAAGGTACTGGTCTAATTGAAAGTTTACTCAAACTATTAAAATATGTTTGGGTTAAGTGGTTGAGAATAACCTTGAGTATTACTGTATTTTGCTTGTATAATAATGTGTTGTATCTGCATATTCATATGGGAATTGCATTTTTTTTTTCCTGAGAGGTACTGGATTTAAGTATTTTTTTTTCCTTCCTCAGATATTTTCAGCCACCAGGAGCTTGGGTACAATGTGCTTTAGAATCCAGGGAACTTCTTGCTTTGTGTTTGAAAAAAATCAAAGCCCCTCTGAGTAAGGTAGGTCACAGCTAAAAATCAGTATTTATAGGCATGCTTTCCATAAAGCTTCCATTTTAAGAAAATTTTCCTATGATTTTCATTATTTGCTGAGAAACCCCTCTCCCACTTTTTTTTTTTTTTTTTTTTTTTGGTGATGCTGAGTATTGATCCTGGGCCTCATGCATGCTAGGCAAATGGCAAGCACTCTTACACTGAGCTGTATCTCCTATTCTTAAGAACCCCTTATATGTAGTGTTCTTCTCCAGAAAAATCTTCATATAAAAGATCTTTAAGTCATAAAGGAGATTATGGTGTGAGGGGAATGCTAGTATTTGGTTCATTTTAAAACTTTTTTGTTGTTGCTGTGGAAAGAAAATGTGCCTCTCACTTAAAGTCTATGCATAAATGTCTCCAAAAAAACCTAAATATGATTTGGGTACAGTCCTGTTTACTTCTTTGAGACATACTTTTAATTTTCTTTATGTTAAACTTTGTGACTGTTTGAAAGGTGTCCTGATTCTTTCTTAAGCTCTGATAAAATGTCATGCAATAGTTCTTTGAAATTTCTTCATTTATTTTCTTCCTCACCGTGGAATTTCTGTTACTTAAACATTGGCCGCCGGTCTGAAATCTTTGTTTCTATTTTGCCCTTAATATTTAAAAACAAAAAAAGTCTTTCCTCATATTCTTGGCAATTTCCTGTATTTTATCTTTCAGTCTTTATTTCTATTAATTTTTTTCCCAGCATTAATATTTTTTTAAGTTCCAAAGTCATGTTCTCTTTTTTTTTTTTTTTTTGGCCTTTTTGAGCCAGGGCCTTGCTATGCAGTTCAGGCTGGCCTTGAGCTCACTTAGTAGCCCAGGCTAGTCTCGAACTCAATGGGCCTCCTGCCTCAGCCTCTTGAGTGCTGTGATTACAGGTGTGTACCACTACGCCCAGTCAAAGTCATGTTCTTGATGTATTTTGTTCTTAAATTTTTCTGAGGATTTTGATACAGGCTGAATATTTGTTATCTGAAATGCTTGGGGCAAGAAGTATTTTAGATTTCTAATGTTTTTCAAAAATTTTGGATTATATTTATGGAACAAGATATATTGGGAGTGGGACTTAAGTCTAAACGTGAAATTCACTTATGTGTTGTATACGCCTTATACACATGGCTTGAATATAATTTTAACAATATTTTAAATAGTTTTATGCATGAAACAAAGTTTGGTGGTGTAGAATTCTTCATGTCTTTAAAAAAAAAAGCTTCATGTCTTGAATTATATCAATACTCTAGAAGTTTTGAATTTTGGAATATTTTGGATTTCAGATTTTCAGTTTAGGAATACTTAGCATGTAACTATTTTTTTCTTTATCTTTTTAAAGTTTTCTTTTATTCTTTGACTTTTTTTTTCCTGGAGTCAGTTTGTTTTAGATGTGTGTATTTTATTTTATTTATGTATTTTTTTTCATTTTTACACTTAAGACTTTTGTCAAGTGTCTGATGAGTTTTAATAGGTCATTATTTCATATAGCAGATGTTTAATAAGTACCACTTCTGTGACAAACTAGTTTTGTTGATATGGCTGTAGCAGTGAGCAAGCTTATATTCTAGTTTGGGTATGTGTATATGTGTGATGTGTGGTGTAGGGTGTGATTACAGGTCAAAAACAGTAGAAGTCATCCTTGACTCTTCTCTTATACATATATCCAACTACATCAGTGAATGCTCCTGACTACCGTCAAAGTAGTTCCAGAATCTGTTTCTCATCATGTTCATTTCTGACCCACGCCATCATTTCTTGGAATTACTAGGATCGCTTCTTAACGTTTATACTTCTGGCTTTACCCTAGCCTTAACATCTGTTCTAAACACAGCAGCTGGAGGGACTGGCAAATCATAATCTTACCTACTCTGTCTTTTATCCTCTGTACCTATTAATAAAGCAAAAAGCAGTTATTGTAGAGTCCTGCAAGGTGGACATACCTGACTTTTCATAACTCCCTTGACTTTATCCCCAGCCAATTATCCTCTCACCACTTCAGTAACCAGATAGGTAGGCTCTTACCTAGTCTCCCTACTTCTTGTGTTCACTACCCATAATGCTCTTCCTTCAGATTTTTGCACAGCTCCCTTCATTACCATCTTTAATGTTTACTCACGTTTCCTTCTTTTAGAGACCTCCCCTAAATACTGTTAAATTTCAACTCCTCCTTGAAGAGTTCTTATCCCCCTCCTAGCTTTTTTGTGCACAGAATTTATACTTTTTAATATACCACGGAATTGACTGGAGGATGTCCTTGAGGAGTAGAAAAGAGAATATAGCACGTACATTTGTTCATGTATTCAGGTAGCATTTAGTCTCTGCCAAGCACAATTTTGGGAAGCTGCAATATTGCACGGAAAAAGTAAAGATCTATCTTCGCTGTGTAAGGGGGCTGGTGTTGCTAGGAGCATGGGTAGTTTATCTGTGCTGACAGGAGGAAAGATGTTGGTAAGTGGGAGATTCTGGAAATGCTCTTCAGAGAAAACAGAAGCATAGGCAGTAGCTATGAAGAAAGAGCTATTAAATGTTTGAGGAGAGCGGGGACGGTATGAAGTAGTCCTCTAGGAGAGTAGCAGAGGAAATGCAGTAGAATAATGTTGTATGGGTGCTAGACAGGCCAAACAATGAGTGTTATAAATGCTAAGAGTCGTGAGTATGGTGTGCATTTATTTCTCTAACCCCACCAACTGCCCAGATAATACATAGAGCAGGGAAAGCATTGAATTTAATCAAGGTGTTGATTTAGACTAGTGAGTGACTAAGGTAAAATGAGAGGGACTAAGGGAATTGAGAGTGTGTATGTGGCAGTATTTTGATGTTTGATGATTGACTTTCAGTTTAGCTGGGGTAGGATGGAAGTGTTTAGATGAGGTGGGATGAGCGATAATGAAAAGGTGGGAGGGTGAAAGGTTTTTCTGTTGCATTAGATTGAAGGATTTTTGGCACTTAGGAACTAGAAAGAATCTACTGGAAAGATAGATGGTTAGTAGGATTTTGGAAGGGCTGCAGTTACTGGTAAAAAGATATGGGTAGCTAACCCAGGAAAGAGAAGATCTTAGCTAGGGATGGGAACTGAAAGAATGGAGAGGTCAGGGTGTTGTGGGGATGATCTGTATGGATATTGAAATTACTAAGTATTCATATTAATGTTGTTAAAACAAATGACACTGAGCTCAGGACTAACGTCTGAGAAATGAGGGCAAATGATGCAAGGGTTAACAGAGGGTCATAGGTGGTAGAGTCTGATGACTTCAGAGTCAGGCGGAGTGTGTTGAAGGAAGCGGTAGGGAGAATGTTCTGGAATTGGGAATGAAGAACAAGGAGGGCACCTGTCTGGGTCCTGGCCAGATGGTAGAAACAAACTGAAGGCAACAGTCACGTTAGCTAGCTGTGCGGGCGTGGTATAATCAGTAGGTCTAGAGGGTGGAGGGAGTGGTCACTAAAGCAGGTGAGGATCTAGGAAGTTTCCTCTGTAATGATCGTTGAGTTCTAGATGGCAGAGTAAAAGGGTTTCAGGACTGGGAGGACCAGTAGATGAGGACAGAATAGGGACCATGTGGAACTGGATGGAAACCTGTGGGAAATGAGGGGTGACTGAGGTGTCTGTGCTGATAAAGAAGGGTAAAGGGTTGATTAAGATTGATTGGTTTTGGCTGTGTAAGCACAGATGCAGGTGAGGCTGCGTGAGGGATGCTGAGCGCATGTCAAGGACCCTTTTTCCATTCTTGCGGATGGGGATGGAGGCTGAGGGGAGAGCAGTGTTACTCAGGGCCCTTGGAGCTTCCTTTTGACTGCAGATGGAAACCGAGGGCATAGGAAGCTGCTTGTTATTCTCTGTACCTGGCATGCTTTGTTGACTATAAGGTTTTGCTTTAGGGGAGCAATCATAGGAGGAGAGTTGTACTTTAGAATGCTGTATCTATATTAGTTAGACTAGTTCTTATCAAATAATACTAGATAAAATTATCATCTGCTTGCTTATACCCTAAGTCTGTTGTCTACAGCCCAAATTGTCCATAAATCTCCAGCCCAGTATGTACCCTACTACCCATTAAACAAGTCCACTTGGTTACCTCAGATACCCTCTTAAATTTCAACACCTTTTCCCATTAAATCTGTTGTTCATTTGTGTGAGAAAAAGACCTAGTTGTCCAAGCTGGGTATTTGAGCATCGTTCTAGAGTGTGTTCTCTTCCTCTTTGTCATATCCGGTTTTTATTACAGGTTTTATCTTATCAATAGCTCTTGGCTCTGGTTCTGTTGCTTCAGATTTTTCCTGTGCCGCTTCCCTTCAGCTGCAGCTCAGACTATTGCAACAGCTTCCATTCTTGGGTTCCTACTTCCTCTGTTCTCAAACATCCCTTCTGGCTGTACTGAATTTGTTCCTCATGTTGTATAGCAATCTCCTTAACCTCTGTAGATGCTTCAGGTTTAGCAGTGAGTTAATGACTGGGGTTTCAGTATTCAGCAGTGGAACCTACTCTAATGAATGTTTCTTCTTTAAAAAAAAGCCACAGATTTAATACAAGTGGAAACTTGGCTTCATGAGGGTTCTTCTAGATAATGAAGTCCACAGTTTTTTGCCTTCTTAAAATCTACACATACACACACACATATAATATATATATATAATATGTAGCCATATATAATATATGTAATCATATATTATATATGTCACCATATATAATATATATTATATATGTAATATATTTTCCATTCAAAGAACAACACAGTTTGTTTAGAGAAAGTAATTTTTATAGCTACTTTAATTCTTGCTTGAATTATATCCGTTGCACTAATAATGTCATTGAACTGTCCTTTTGTTTGCTGCTATTGTTGCAGAGGATAAGTTTTTTTGTTATGATGGTATGTAGAATGCTGATCATAAATTCCTTAAGGTATCTTATGGAATCTGTTTATTAATGAGTTGTTTTTATTTCTTCATTGGAATTTGTTTCTTTTTTGTTGTTTTTGCTTATTTGAAGGTACGACTTGTAGATGCAGGCTTTGTTTGGACTGAGCCCCATTCTAAGAGACTGAAAGTTAAGTTGACTATTCAGAAAGAGGTAAGTTGTACATTGTTTTCTAAGCATGGTTAAGGTGCAGGTAATGAGAATGAGGGTTAGTTATTTTATGGCTTCAATAGTTTAAAAGGAAAAATGCGTTCTTAATGTTAGTCCTTTATTTTCATATCATCTGTATAAATAATGTGTTCATGGGGAGGAACAGTCTCTCCTTTTCATTTTATTAAGGAAAGGATTTAAAATAAAAACATGGCCTAAGGCAAACATGGCTGATCATTATACTGACCCATTGTAACTGACTCAGAATCTTAATGTGAAACCTACAAGTCCGTATATTTCTCTTTTGTTTTTTTTTTTCCTGTTTTGCTGGAGATTGAACGCAGGGCCTCAGGCATGCTAGGCGAGTACTTTATCACAGAGTTATACCCTCACTTCCCCTGTACTGTGTGTTTAAGAAGCTTCCTAGGTGATTTAGAATGGTTTGTGTTTGAGAATCATTACATTAAGCAATGTCTTTTTGAGGATTTTCCTTGCCTTTTTTCTTCTAAGGTTAAATTCTGTGTGTGTGTGTGTGTGTGTGTGTGTTTATTTCTAGTCAAAGGGTGGAATACACATATATAGGTACAGATATATAATTATATGCACACATATGTGTGCATGGTTCTTGAAAGCATATTCTCACAATCACTTCAACAAAAGGTAAATTTGAAGTATTAATCTAATTTTATGAATTACAACTTGTATATCTGTCTTAAAATAATGTCTTATTTTTATGACTTTAAATTTGACCAATAGCCTAAAAACATTCATAGAAAAAAGTTTAGCATCTTCTTTTAAGAAAAATATTTATAATTAAGCAAAACTTAATGAAGGAGTATAATTGTTTTCTTTTCCAGGTGATGAATGGCGCTATCCTTCAGCAGGTGTTTGTGGTAGATTATGTTGTTCAGTCCCAAATGTGTGGAGATTGCCACAGAGTAGAAGCTAAGGATTTCTGGAAGGCTGTGGTTCAGGTCAGGCAAAAGGTAAGTGAGGAAAAGATGATGAATAAATCCTACATCTTGTAATTCATTTTAGTCCATTAAAAAGAGTTAATAGAAACCTTTTCTTTTCTCTACTTGTCATATCCTTTAAGTCTGAGGAAGTCTCTGGAGCATTCATTCACTTTTGGAAATAGATCACTATTTTGCTTTTAGATAATTGTTCAAGATTGTTTTTGTTTGAAAAATTAATAGGCTAAAGCATAAATATTCTGTCACAAACTTGTCTCTTGAGATTGAGATGCTGACGTGCAGAGTGAGTTTATATTTGTAGATATGTATATATGTTTGATGTATACATATGTATGTATATATATATATATCTTGGCATTTAGTTTATTGATTCAATAATGCATTTATCTTTAGACTTTGCACAAAAAAACATTCTACTATCTGGAGCAGTTGATTCTGAAATATGGAGTGCATCAGAATACACTTCGTATCAAAGAGATTCATGGTGAGTTAAAAGGATTTGAAACAGTGTCAAAATTTTATCTCAATTTACCTAAGTAATCTTATCGTTATTGCCAATCTGAATTACTACTATCAAAAAGAACTTTCCGTTAGGAAGAAAATAGTCTTCATCTTTAATCTGTGCTAGCCGATATGGATATCACTAACCACGTGTAGCTCTTAAGTATTTAAAGGGTGGCTAGTGCAACTGAGGAACTGAATTTTTATTTTTTCTCCTGTTTTAACTTAAAATTACTTTAAGTGTGTTAGATTATTATGTCTTATGTCTCTGTTCTGTTGGGTAGCACATATCTAGAAGTATGATTGTTTTCATTGATGTCCTTCTCCCATCACAGTTTGAGATATTTCCCAAGCATGTGGTTTGTGATAGATGCCATCTGGGTTTTTAAAACATGCAGATGAATTAATACTCGTGCTCTCAATTGGCTACTCATCCCACAAAGTAGGAGAATAAACTAGTAACTATATTAATATAGTATAGATTGCTGATATAAAATTCATTAAAAAGTAGCGGAGAGAGATACTGTTTGGAAGAACAAAATTATTTTTAAGATCTGTAAGTTCTTTTTTCTTATGCCTAAGATGTTTGTGATAGAGGTATTAATTCAGAAGCCTAATCAGTACAGTAATAATGAAGTGATACATAAATACTATTGGGTTTCTTCTCTAGTGAGGCTTGAACTCAGGACCTTGCGCTTGCCAGCCAGGCACTGTGCTGCTTGAGCTATCTCCCTGGCCCACTATGAGGTTCCTTAAGATTGTAGGTTGTTCCACTTATTGCAGAAAATGCTCTTCTTTGTTCTTTTTCTCTGTCCTTTATCCTTTTTTTTTTCTGTAGAACTAAAACATATTGTTTTCATTTATTAGCATTTGTCTGTCCTTTTGCCAAAACAAGTCTTAAGTGATACCCTTAGTCTGTTGTGGCTATAATTTCTTAATATTTTCTAATAATTTGATTTTGTCAAATACGGATTTAATTTATGATGCCATGTTAGTAGAGGCAAATCTTATTTTGCAGAATTATTTATATGGCTTTTTTTTTTTAAAGATGGTCTGGATTTCTATTATTCTTCAAAACAACATGCTCAGAAGATGGTAGAATTTCTTCAGTGTACAGTTCCTTGTAGGTATGTTGTGAATCTAAATGTGACCAAGTCCAAGAAATGGGGCTGGATTTGGACACATCTGTTCTTCAGGCTTAGATGTCTTATGTTAGAATATTTAAAGTTTTAATAGGAATGCTTACACAATCAGGAAACATTTACTAGTTACTTTATTGAATGTACTAGCTGAAGAGTATGTAAAAATCTCTTTAGGGAGTTAGACCTACCTCCACGATAATAAGCACTGTAGTTCTGAAATACGGATCGACTGAATGATGAGAGAAAGAATAAATGGGAATAGGAGGACTTTGGGTATAAGATTCAGAAGGGAGATAGAGTGCACCTGAAGGATGGAGGAAGTTTTCATAGGTAGAGTTTGTATTAAAAGGTGAGATTAGTGTGAAGAAAGATTTGGCAATGAGCACTAGTGTGGGTTTTTAATAGATGTATGGAGAGTAGATTAGTCTGATCCAAGGGAACGTTTTGGAGCTTGATAAAGTTGAAAATAGGTAGGGTGCAGCTGTACTGATAAAGATTTTTAAATAAAAGTGGATGCTTAGGCTTTGCCATAGCAGGCATCAAAAATCTATTTCAGACCTTGGACAGTAATAATTTGATTTGATGAAAATTGACATTTCAGAGTCTATACAAGTTAGACCTTTGCATTACTATTAAATTTTTTTTAATAGATGTAAAACATCACAGAGACTGATCTCTCAGGATATCCACAGCAACACATACAACTACAAAAGCACTTTTTCTGTGGAAATTGTTCCAATATGCAAGGTACTTTTATTATTTAATCCATATCTATAAAAGTTCAAGTAATTAATTGGTTTTCCTTCTAGGGTGGTTACACTTAGACTGACTTTCATAAATAATTTCTGACACATTCAACCTTGTTTAAAAAATATACAAGAAGCAGGATATGCTTGTAATTATGAATTAGCATGCATTTTACTTTGGTGTGTTAACATTGGAAGACCTGAGTGCATTTTTTTTTTAAGTCTCTAAATTCCTTAAAATTGTAATCCTAACCAGGGAAGGAGACCTGTGGCGGATGGGAATGGTTCTAGGGATAGAGGGAGAAGGGAGGAAGGCGAGGGGAAGGGGAAATAAAAAAGACTAAGATGTGGATACAGATATGTACCAACTTCCTATGGTAAATATATTCATTATATATCACAGACATTATATATTGGAAATTAACAGTAAAAAGGAAAATCCTAAAAAAAAGAATATTGTGATCCTAGTGAATGTATAACAGTTCTATGAAACTTTGATTTGTAAGAATGATTTTAAAAAAAATAAGTGAGCCATTTTGTGGTGTGTGAATAGGCTTTTGGCCATGTTTAACAGTATTATGGGAATGAGATCATAGAATCATTTTTATTTGAATAAAACTTAAAATGTAGATTATTTCAGTTAATTGTAGTAAGATGAAACTGGTTCGAAAATATGAATGAATTAAAATTCAGTAGGTGAATTACTGGGTGCCTCATGTGTATAAGGCTGTACAGTGTGGATTGTGTTGCTGGATTTCTCTAACTTGCAGGAATTCATTGGTGATATTGCATCACTGAAATGACAGCATAATTTATTGTGATCATTCTACATAAAATTAATAGCTAAGTACTATAGTGTGTTTCACTTTGTTTATGTCTCTTAAACTGAGGAAAGCCATGTTAAGAAGGAATTGCAGCTGAGGTACATGAGATTTGATTAAAGTTTTATAACTGCAAAATGATAAAGTCAGAATTTGCACGCAGGTCTATGTGTATAAAGCTTTAAAGCATTAATACTAATTTATAGTGCAGCGCTAGGGATGGAAAGAGAGCCTTAAAACAGGGTTGGCAAATTTTCTATGAAGGACCAGTTATTAAATATTTTCTATTTTCAGGCCATATAATCTCTATTGCAACTTTTCAGCCCTCTTACTATTGCGCAAAAGTCACCAGGGATGATATATAAGTGAATGACCAGTGCTGTGTTCAGTAGAACTTCATGAAGCACAAGTGGTGGGCTGAATGCCGTTTTATGCCAACCTCTGATTGAAAAAAGTGAATATTTTCTTGGCACAAAGCCTGGAACGTAGGAATTTAGGTGTGGGCATATTTAGGCCTGTGTGTTTAACTGCTTTGAGTGACCAGTGTAACTAACTAGGGGAATACACTGTGTGAAGATGTACAGTTGTCTCTTGCGGTCTGTAGGGGATTGGTTCCAGGACCTCATACAGGTAACACAACAGGATGTTCAGGTGCCCGATATGAAATGGTACAGTATTTGCATATCGTCTGTTCATATCTTCCTATATACTTTATCTCTGTATTACTTATACCGAATACAACGTATATGTTATGTAAATACTTGTTAATATTGTAGAGAATGATGACAAAAAAAAGTCCAGATTTTTAAAAATGCATTTTTGATCTCTGTTGAACCTTCAGAGGTGGAACACACAGATGCAGATGGCTGACTTGTGTTTCTGTTTTTGGAAACTCTTGAGTTAAAAACCAAGGGTTGGAGAGGAATTATACACAAATTATCCCTTTAGTGGAGAGTCTAGTGTTGTAAATAGGTATAGCTTAAAATATAACAGATCTTTTTACATGTAATACAGTCTGACATCACAATTACATTGTTGGTTTATATAATATTTTCTAAAATATGTAGACATGTGACTTTGGGCATTAAAATATTTGATTACGTATTGATATATGGTATTTGGAACCTTTTAAGAGAAACATGTTCTTTTGAACCTTTTTATGAATATTGAAGGAAGTTAGATTTAGAACATCGCAGTACTCCTAATGTACTTTGATTAGAATGTACACTATACTAACATGTAGAGTGATAAACACTGTAATAATGTTGAAATAAACTTAATAGCTTGGAAACTAGGCCCGGGAAGATTTCTAAAAGCATTTTAATTAAGACAAATATATTTGTCTGAATAAGTTATATCTTTCAATTTTTTAATGTTTTGGTTGAGCAAGTACAGTTTGATTTGATTTACATTGATAAGCATTTACAGAGACTGTTGCTTAGGATTTGCATCATTTTAAATGTTACTTCTTATGCCTAGGATAATGTTGTTTGTCTGTCTCCAAAACTTGCACAAAGCCTGGGAAATATGAACCAGATTTGTGTGTGTATTCGAGTAACCAGTGCCATCCATCTCATTGATCCAAACACCTTGCAAGGTAAGTTTTGGAAACTAAATTTGCCTTGACAGTTAGTTGTATATATGCCAAGCAGTAATAATTTATGTTGGGCTGGGGCTGTAGCTCAGTGGCACAAGTGCCTGCCTGGCAAACGCAAGGTCCTGAGTTTGATTCCCGGTACCAAAAAAAAATGTTTATGTTTGTGTTGTCATTCTCAACAGTTGTGTTTTAAAAGACCAATTAAAATTTATACTATTGTTTATAAACACTGTGGAATTATAAGGCATTTAATTTGTTGCCCTTTTTTTTCAGATAGGATCTCATTATGTAGTATAGGCTGGCATTGATTTCATAGGGATCCTCCTCCCTCAGTCTACCAAGGGCTGGGATTACAGGTGTTGGGCCAGCATGCCTGGTTTGCATTTTTCATTTAAAGGAACGAGTCTGAATTTAACAGATTTCCTAGTTTTTTTTATTGAAATAGACTTACTTATATCATTTAATTTTGTAACTAATTACTAAAGTTCATGGGTAAATTTTAGTATTTAACAAGTATTTTAAATTTTGGAACCTTTTTATTTTTTGTGATCCAATGGAACTTTATTTGAATAAGAATTTTAGGGCCAGGGATACAGCTCAGTGGCATAAGTGCCTGCCTGCCAAGTGCAAGGTCCTGAGTTCGATTCCCAGTACCAAAAAAAAAATAGATAAAAAAATAAAAATTTTAACTAATTTCAAAGTTATTGATCACTTAAAAATATTCCCTTTATAAAATGTATTTTTAAAAGAAGATTTCCTGTTGACTGTCAGTGAATTTGGCTGGATCTGCTTGATCTTTTTTTGTAAGTTTCATGAAATGTAAATCTTCTGTTATAACAAATTGAGTTTATTTTGATCCTTTCCAAGAAGCAATTTATTACCCTTATCAATTATAGTCATGAGCCAGATGTCTATTTATAGTATCAGGATTGACATTCTTTATCTGTCAGCAAGAAATTAAACTGCTAAGACGCTGATACGTTTCTGAACCAGTACATGAAATGACTCTGACTGATCAACTCTGATCTTATTTAAAAGGCACTTAGCTCTGTGGCTTTCTAATTACAGTTAATATTTAAGATACGTTTGGTACCTGCTATTTCCCTTGTGCTGGACAAAGTTTGGGGCTAATTCATTTGAATAAAGATGACCCTGGAGAGTGAGTTGACAGTTGTAGTTCCAGTTGATCTGTTGTTTCCCAGCTGGTATATCTTATGTTCTTCCTAGTTGACATATTTGGTGACTTTTTGAAATACGTCAGTGTTTTGTTCCTTGCTGTTGTTTATTGTAGTTGCTGATGTTGATGGGAGCACATTCTGGAGTCATCCTTTCAATAGTTTATGCCGTCCCAAACAGCTGGAAGAGTTTATTGTGATGGAGTGCAGCATAGTCCGAGACCTCAAACGCAGTGCCGGTGCTGGAGTCATATCAAAAAAGGTAGCCACACTATTTTTATTTACTTTCTGTCATCTTACTGTTTCTCTTTTTTTTTTCATTATGGAGTCTAAATAAAGCTAACCCTATGGTAGATTAAAAATACATTTTATGAGCTTTCATGTCCTTTTTCTTCCCTTTTAAAAAAAAGTGGAATAATTATAAAAATACACTTACTCTGCCTGGTAAGTTATTTTTATTTTTTGTGTTGGAAAAAAGTTTAAATGTTTACTTCATTATTCTAAACAATCATTTATTTTTATAAAAGAGGACTGAGTGACCGAATACCCTCTTGACATTTTAAAAATCATTACTGTACGCTAAATATTTCAATATGTATCTCTTAACAGTGTATCACTATCAAAACTATTAACTGTTCGTAGCCTGTATTTATATTACCTTATCTGTGCCTTAGTGTCTCTTATGATTTGTTCTGACTAGTATCCAGTTGGAGACCACACGTTAAATGATGGTGGATATTATAGTTGTGAAGTACTTTATTTAATAATAACCCTCTTCCTGTTCTAGTTTTTTTTCATGGTTTGGTTTCTTTTGGGTCATGGTACCAACTTCCTTAGACAAGTAGTACATTCATAGAATATTGTCTACCTGTATCTTCCTGTTGCCTCATGATACCACTTAATTTGCTCTTAATACCCAGTGTTTTCTCTAACCTGGAGAGTGGGTCTAAAGGTTTATTAGGTAAATTTGGGTTAAATATTTTTTTGCAAGACTATTTGGGAAGTGATGCTTTTTTCTGGTGCCTCTTCTTTTTATCTCCGTGTTGAGATCCCTTAATTGTATCACTGACTTGCAGTATATTGCTGTTGGTCTCTCTTCACTTGGTCTGTATTAGTAAAAGGTTGGCACACAGTATCCTCATTTCAGCCTGTAAGTTTGAAAGGTCATTTACAAGTAAAATGTTATATTGGAAAGGGAATTAACAATTTTCTGGTTTAAAATTTCAAATATTAAAAAATTAATTGGTAAAGATTTGGATTTTCTGATAGTGTGCTACTGGGCTTTCAAGATTATTTTGTCAGAACCTTGGATTTTTGAACCCTTTGTTTTAAACAAACTTTTGCTTGGAATATTTTCTTGATTTAAGAGACCTACCTTTTCAGTTAGCTGTTTGCTCAGTCTGTATTGGTCAGTCTCCCTATGAAAAGATTTCTTTTGAAAATTCTATGTATATCTTTTCCAGAGGACATTGTTAATGTTTCATAAATGCCTTGACCAAATCTTAACAAAAACCCTTTATTTGCTTTTAATATTTTCTTTCTCTGTACTTAGGATTTAGTAATTTGTTACTTTTGACAGTATTTTAGAGATGTGGAAAACAGAAATAAAAATTCTTGCCTTTAAAATGAGAATGAGAAAGCTAAAAATCAATATTGTATTTAATTTTTCTGTGAGCCTTCTTGAGTTGCTGAGGTTATTGAAGAGTACGTTTTCTTTCCTTTTAAGCATACCCTTGGGGAAGTCTGGGTACAGAAGACATCTGAAATGAATACAGATAAACAGTATTTTTGTCGCACTCACTTGGGACATCTTCTAAATCCTGGAGACCTGGTGTTGGGGTTTGTATTACTTTGTAGAATTTTAAACTGCCAGTCAGCGTTGCATGTTTTCTTTGGTAGCCAAAAGAGCTACCTAAAATACTAAAGTTGTTCATTCCAGAAAGATTGCAGAGTTCTTAAGAACCTCTTACACCTCGTTATTGGTAACTGAATTATGTGTTGGACAGAAGGCTGTCGTTCCATCATCTAAAGGAGCTGTTTGTTCCAGTGTTTTGATGATTGAACCCTGACTTTATTACATGCATATTTACAGTTTTTTTAAGGGAGTGGGTAGTTTTTTATTAAACATGTTCAAGTCTGTTTTGCTTCCTTAACAAATACATGGAAAGATGGACAAAACTCACAGACAGATTGCCTTTTTATCTTTTCGAGGTCTGCAAAAGGATGTTTATTATAAAATGAATTATAAAACTATTAAAGTGGGCAGCATTAACTGACTTAAAAGGAAGTCTTAGGTGATATTTGTCAAATGAAAAGTTAAATGCCAAGGCCAAGTAGTTAAGTTTTTCATTATATTTCAGGTTTGATTTGGCTAATTGTAACTTGAATGATGAACATGTCAACAAAATGAACTCAGATAAAGTTCCAGATGTGGTAAGGCTTTTGGTTTTTCTTTTTTCCCATGTTGAAGATGCTGTAACTCTTACGAGAGAGGTACATGAGGTCATAGTTTTGAAAATAATGCATCAGTTAGAGATTGTCTTTGAAATCAGTTAAGGCATAATATCAGAAGTCTGTTGATTTATTTACCAATGTTAGTAATCAAACCCACGGCCTCATATGCTAGGCAAGCACTGTACCACTGAGCTATGTCTCTACTCCCTTAATTTTCACTCATTTTTGGGAGGTGGGTACTGATGAGTGAAGCCAGGTGCTTGCTAGGCAAGAACTCTACCACTGAGCTGCACTCGCAGCCTTTTTTAAAAACTTTGAGATAGGGTTGCTCAGGCTGGCCTCAAATTTGCAGTCCTCTTGCCTCAGCCTGTAAGTAGCTGTGATAATAGGGTCATGCCTTGTTGCCAGGCTTCAGAAGTCTTTGTTTGATACCATTTTCCTTGGGGGGGATGTCCAAGAATTTTGGAGGTTTCTTTGTTGCTGTTTGTAATCAAATTTTCATTGTCAAAGTACTTGGTACTATCTGTAGAGTAAGCTTGTAGCCAGAAATGATGACCTTTGGAGTACTCAGGTTCATTCGTAACTAGGCTCAGCTAGGCTTATTTTATGTGTATTGTCAGTGAAGAAGGCATTTAGAGTTAATACCATTATTCAGAGTTAAATGTAACTGGAGTAGAAAATAACCTTCACATGATCAGGTACTAGAGAAAGGCTTAGTTGGGACAAATCTTAAATTCTAACACGATGAGTTTAAGAGTCGTGAACAGTAGTGAAGTAAACAAAAGATTATTTTGAAATACACATTGATTTCTTTAGCTTTGGGCAGAAGTGAAGTCGTGATAAAAGAGGGACCCTCCCACTGTTACCACCCAGTTTTGCTTTCTTTAATTGATAAATTAGGAAATAGCAGGATAGTTTGAATAGAAATAAGAATAGGTGTTTTTTATTTCTTTTTTTGTTTTGTTTTCTTTCTATAAGGCAGGGCATTGCTGTGTTGCCCAGTCTGACCTGGAATGCATGATCCTCCCATCTCGGCCTCCCAAATAACTGGGATTACAGGGCATGCCACCTTGCTTTCTTCCCAATGTAGGTATTTCTAGTGAGGTTATAGGAGTAGATCACGGCAGTCTTTGAAGATTTTGTGTTCTGTAGAGTTATTTTCATGTATTCATTGTACAGTTATTAAGCATTGTTGTAAGATACACTGTTGAGAGTCACGTGCAGTTTTGTAAGTGGTTATTAGAGTAGGACGCGTTGCTGTGGTGTTCCAAGATGACCTGTGTGAGGAGTAAGTACTGCAGATTCTTGCTATTAGAACTTTGATATTCAGTCACTGGAAAATGTAACGTAATTCTAACAGTTATATAAATAATGCCAGATACATTCTCATGTATAAGTAGATGGACAAAAATTTTAAAATTGTTTTTGGTACTGCCTCTTGGTCTCTACACCTTTTTCCTGAGGTATAACTCCTCAACATTTGGAACTTCTCTGGCATTCCTACAGCCTTTCATTTTTAAACTTTATTGGATCTTATAGCTCTACTTTGTAGTTGTGTGTTATAACAAAGTTGTTCTGTTGTAGGTATTAATCAAGAAGAGCTATGACCGGACCAAACGTCAGCGTCGTAGAAACTGGAAACTGAAGGAGCTTGCGAGAGATAGAGAAAATACGGACACAGATGATGAAAGGTCCCACTTTATTCAAAACCTGTGTATTTTCTGAGAGGAGAGCCTTATGATAAATTATTTTCATTTTTTTTGTAAAGAAGTAGGCATCACACAATTGATCTTTGCACTCTTAATTTTGGATTCTTGTCAAGATATTGGTGGAATTGGTATAAGGATGTAGTGATTATTAACACAAATTCGATCATTATTTCTTGTGTTACTATCTTATAATTGTAATATTAATGTAAACAATTCAGTTGAAAAGTTAAAATATAAGCAATTTGTGGATTTCACAAATAGGCGATGTGTACTGGTGATTTGAGATTAAAAGAAAATTTCCAGTTTGTCAGTATTTAATTAAAGCTCATATTCCACCTTTTAAATGTTTCTGTATCCAACAGGCAATACCAAGATTTTCTTGAAGATCTTGAAGAAGACGAGGCACTTAGAAAAAATGTCAACATTTATAGAGGTTGGTGTTGTAGTAGTGTTTTAAGTCAGATGTTGTATATATATAGTACCAGTGGGAGTATTATGGTATCTTCAGCTTTGATTTTCATAGATGACTTTTTCTTGTTTATTTATTTCTTTTATTTTTATTTTTTTTTTCCGGTACCAAGAATCGAACTCACGACCTTGCGCTTGCCAGGCAGGTGCTGTGCCACTGAGCTAAATCCCCAGCCCCTCTTGTTTATTTTTTAAACTACTGTAGTCAGACTTTTATAAATGATGCCAATAATGTTGAGGCAGGTATTTCTATATTTTCATATTTGTATTTATTTGAAATCCTTCCTTTTTTTAGATTCAGCAGTCCCTGTAGAAAGTGACACAGATGATGAAGGAGCGCCTCGAATCAGTCTGGCTGAGATGCTTGAGGACCTTCATCTTTCTCAGGATGCCACTGGCGAAGAGGGCGCAGCTATGATGACGTAATGAAATCATGTAGACTCTGCCCACCTGTGGGTGCAGGAAGTTGGACACAGTAACTTGCTGTATATTCCATCTATGCCTTCATATTTCAAGAGGAGAAATTTATTTTAAAACTAAATAAAAAGGACTATTTTGATTCCTCAAAGGGCTAAAGGGTTTGATAGTTTTGGAATTTAAGAGAATAAAAGATTAGGGAGAATTTAATTTTGCCAAAGTTTAGGCTATTTCATGTGTGTGGTTTTATCACTTTGCTTTTATTTAAGGCCCTGTAGTATTTTCTTCACATACCTAATGCTACTGCTGGACTTAAAAGCTCAAAAGTTGAGATTCATTATATGTTAACTAAATATTCAAACAAAATAGTCTTTACATTCTTTTTATGTTGATTGCTTTATAGAGAGAGCCAGTAACCTGGTGGATCATCTGTAATGTGCACTTCGATTCATTTTAGATCATTTCTATTTCCTCTGAGTAGGGAAATTGTTGTTCAGTTTATCACTGAACATTGAGGAAGGAAGTCTTATTTCTCCATAAAGTTAACATTTTCAAAAGCTTTCCCCTCTCTGTGTCTCTCTACCCCACCTTCTTCTCTCCCTCCCTTCTCCCTCCCCTCTCATAGACTAGTTATTTCAGGTAACAGTGTAATTTTTCATTATCTTTGCCTGGACCAGCAATTTAGCCAGTAACCTGGTTTACAACTTGAGGATTCTAGCATGTAGATGATAAAATAATAAAAATTAAGTACATTTTTATTTTTAATAAAGCGTGTTTCCCATGAATCAGATTTGAATGAAGAATACCTTCTATATTCTGAAAGAAGACCTTTGCTTGGATTTTAAAGTGCTCTGAGAATCAAGTATTATCCTGTTTCTGTAAGCAAGATTAGATTTACTGAATATACCAAACCAATGCTACTTCACTCATTCTTTGTGTATCAATAAATGAGGCCATTGAGCCAACACTGAATGGAACATTTTCTGGTTTTAACTTTGGACTCCCTAATTTTGAAGTCATGAAGAAGACTTGAACTTTCTGTAGTGGCTTTTCTCTGTGTATATTGTAGTTCAAGTTGTGTGTCTAAAAGGAGTAGCCTACCCTTGGTATGGTAGATTAGTAGTCTTAGTTTCAGAGGTGCTTCAGTCACATTGCTGGGACACAGTACCTGCCATAACTTAAAGGAAGGTTTATTCTGACTCAGTTTGTGGAGGTTTCAGTACAGGGTGCTGGTTCCGAGGCCTGATGGCCCGGCAGTGGGGCATCACAGAGAAGCTGCTCACCGGGCATGGTGGCAGGAAAGCAGAAAGAATCAAGGGAGGGACCGGGAAAGGAGCTAGGCCTCCCACGGTGACACAGTGACCCACCTCTCCTGACCAGACCCCAGCTTTTAATAGCGAGTCAGCTGTCATGCCCCATAATCCTTACCTCCCCAGAGCCCCATCTGTGATCACGTGAAGGGACAGGGAGGTGTAAACGGTAGCAGCGTGGCTGTGGCCATCTTCACGTGCAGCTGGTGCTTACATTTTATGTCACGATTTTAAAAAGCATGAAGATATCCTTTCCCTGTTTGTGCCTTTGAAATTGTTTCGTGGTCATATTTACATGAGATATCTAATGCAGTTTTCCAAAGTAGAACTGTTAAGTTACTTAAGCACTTGCCATAAGATTTTTCCTACTAACTATTTAGTTTTATTTTTGATGTTATATCTTCGTGAGTGCCGAAGCCTGTTACGGTTTGTGTCTCGTTGTTTCCCTGAAGCCTCAGGCCCTTGTAGGTGGGCCTTTGGGGAGGTGGCTGGATCATGGGGATGTGATACTCCTCACTGCTGAGGATTAGTCCACTGCTGAGTTTATAGCTCAGCGTGATGTGGGGAGGCAAACTCTGGTTGGAAGTGCATCGCTGGGGATGCCTGGGGGGGTCTGTCTCCCTCCCTGATCCCTTTTCTGCTTCCTGCCTGCCATGTCCTGAGCTGTTTCTCCTCTGCCGTGCCCCTCCACCGTGCCTCCCTGCCTTGGAGCCAGCTGACTGTGGACTGACACCTCTACAGATTGAGCTTAAAATAAACCTTTCCTCTGAGTTGTGGGTATTGTGTCTTAGCCATGAGAAACTAAGGCAAAACCTGTTACTGAAAAAGCCCATGAGAAGGCAAAGGAGTGAGAGATGTTACAATCTAAGAGCTTAACCAGCGAAGCAACCTTGATAAATCTACAGGTTTTTTTTGTTTTTTGTTTTTTTGCCTTTTTGAGACAGGATGTTGCTATGCAGTTCAGGCTGGCCTTAAGCTTACATTGTAGCCCAGGCTGGTCTTGAACTCACAGTGATCCTCCTGCCTCAGCCTTCCGAGTGTGGGAATTACAGGTGTGTGCCACCATGCCCGGCTGACATCTATGGTTTTAGAGTATGGCTCCCATACTTAACAGGCTTGTGGGTCTCACAACACTTAATTGATGTCCCAGAGTTGAGAAGGGTTGCAAAGATTAATCAAATGCAGAAGAGGGTGACTTATAACCAAATTTACATGTATGACTAAATAGTTAGTGTGATTATGTACCCAGATCTACACTTTAAGCTATGTATTGAAAAAAAATTGGTACATGTACTTAACATATCCTAAATCTTTTCATCCCTCCATCCCTTTCCTATTTGTAAACAATCTATTTCTCTGTTCCTGTTGTGTTTATTTTGTTTTTGAAATTACTTATACTTTGAGTTTCTTGTATGAGAAGTTAGGTATTATTTAAGCTCTCTGATTTCACATTTGCTAACATTTTGGTGTTAAGGTGCATCCATTTTCCCTCAAACAATTCAGATTTATCCTTCATAAAGAGTTTTAGATGGCTAAAACTCCTTATGTGGCACACGCCTGTAATCCCAGCACTTGGGAGGCTGAGACAGTTTGGAGGCCAGCCTGGGCTGCAAAATAAGTTCAAGGCCTGCCTGAACTGCATAGCTAAATCCTGTCTCAAAATGACAAAAGAAAAAAAAAAGTAGTTCCAAAGTATATATAATAGCTCATTTTCTTTATCCATTCATCTGTTGGTGGATGTGTAGACTGCTTCCAAGATTGAGCTATTGCAAGGTTTGTTAGTCACTGAGGCGTAAGAAAAGAGTTAAAGGAAAGAGTTACTTGTGTAATTAGATAGTTAACAGCATCAGATTAATTCTTTGCCACAGTAGAACACAGAAATTCAGTAATTCCAGACTCCGTGCTGGGACATGAGCCCTGGTCAGTATAGTCAGTACCAGAGTTTTTTCCTAGACTAAATACATTCCTGTTGATTTCATCCTTAGATCACCTGTTTCTAGCTTAGTTGGCCTGCTGTTTGTATCACAAGAGACATTTACTGTCTTAATAGTTTATTTTTAATTTTTCCGTAATTTCCAACTTAGGTAAAGTTACAAGAAAGCTACAAAAAGTTTCTGTATCTCTTTTACCCAGATTTGCTAAAGGTAAATATTTTACTTGAGTTGCTGACCTTTTTTTCCTCAGTAATTATTTTTACTCAACCATTTAAGGGTAAGGTACAAGCTGGGCCATAGCTCAGTGGTGTAGCACTTGATTAGTGTGTGCAAGGCCCTGGAATCAATCCCAAGCGCTACCAAAAATGAAAGAAAAAAAAATTGAGATATAGACCCGATATTTTTTTATCCTCTGCATATTTATTTCAGTGTTTTCTTTGCTAACAACAAGGAATTCTTCGATCACAATAAAAATGTTCAGAACTGGAAAATTAACATTGCCTCAAAACCATCAAAGCAGCCTATAATGAGTTGTTTTTTTTTTAATTTTAAAAATTAAAACTAACAAAAGAATAATGAAGACAAAATCAAAGCAACACAAAAAACAACAAAAACAGTACATTGTTGGTCTACATTCCGTTTCTGTCCAGGGTGACAGGTGCCGCAGATGAAAAGAAAAGCAAGAGAAACAAGAAAAACAAGAGCCAAAATTGGGGATCGGCAGCCTCTCAGACTGCAGCCCTGATTACCATTTTCAGTAACCTTTTATTGAGAAAGAACAAAGGAGACAGCAGGGCAAATGGGAGGGTGTCAACAGATTTGCAAGGACAGTACAACTCAATTATAGGAAGGAGACTTAGTTAGCTATCATGTTTTCATTTCTTCAGACATATCTCAACAAAGCATCCAGCAGTCATTTCCTTCACGCCAATGCTTTGTTAAGACTTCCTCCCGAATCAAACAGTCATGGCGTGGTCAGGCCTGAGGTAATACATTGACAGATGAACTAAAGAATGTCCTTCTCCACAATACATGACCTCAGAACAAAATGATAGGAATTAGCAATGGTTGCTACGTTACATACTGTTCTCTTCAACGAAGTTGCTCAGTCCACCAGACATAAGAATTAAGATTGATCAAACAATCAAAGACAGTAACAATTAAAAAAAACATTGGAAATGATGCAGCGCTTCACCATACAACATGGTAGGAGTTCAACAATGGTTCTTATACTGCATATTGTTTTCAGATCAGTCATTCTGGTTACCAGATTCAAGCATGCAAAGTTGGTGAAGAGAAGATTTTAAGCATTGACTTCTTTCAATAAATCACAGACATCAGCAATATACCTACCCCAGCTATCCTTGTACATACATATAAATTTTGTTTTCATCTTAAAAGAAAAAAACAACAAAGGCAAATACTTAAAACAGCATAGAGAACAATAAAAATGATACAGAATTTTAAAGCAAGGTGATAGAATATTAACAATGGTTGTTCTATTACATAATGTTATCTTCAGAATGGTTGCTCAGATAACCAGATATAGGCGTGTAAGATTGATCAGTTACACATTAACAGTTCCTTTCAGTAAACCAACCGATATTAGTAATACAATTATCCTAGCTATCCTGTGTATACAGATACTCTTTTTCTTTTTCCTCTCCCCTCATTCCTCCCAGTTGCTCCTTCCTATTTGAGCAGTTTCTTTTCCCATTCACACTATTTTACCTTTTGAGGTTTTTGTCATTTGTCTCTTTGCAGAAAACATAAATCTAAGATTGTGTATTGCATTGATTACACACTTTAGTCTTTAATCTGTATCCTGAATGTATGTTTTATGTAGTTGACATTTTTGAAGTGTCCAACTCTGTTATTTTGTAGACTTCCATTTGACTTTATCTTAGTTTTCTCATCATATTTATAGTACGCTTATTTGGCTTCTTCTGTCCCAGAAGAAGTGCCAAAATCTTACGTGCTGTTAATTAGTCCAGATGTTTCCAGACCTCCTTGTTTGGAACAACTCCTAGTTGGTTTTCTGCTGTAAAGAAGAGCTTTTCCTTTTTCATATATTTGCTTATTCATTTGTTTTTCATATTAATGTAAACTCTGAAATTGTTGCTTTAATCCAGTAAGGTTCAGTCATTTACAGTCATTACTTTTCATTTGATTTTTGTCAAAATTCACGGATAGTGAAATTTTTGATATACAGGTCTGAAGTTTAACAGCTATGTATTCACAAGATGCAGAACAGTTATTACCCCACTTTCCCTCTTGCTGTACATTACCCCTTTGTGTATAAGCCCTATCCCTATGGGTTCCCCTGGCAGTTTCAGATCTGGTTTCTGATCTGAAAGTTTGCTTCTTCCAAAATGAAAGAAACGATGTCAGAGCCTGTAGCTTTTTGAATCTGGTTTCTTTCACTTAGCATGTGTACTTGATGTTCATTGAAGGCGGTGTATGTGTCCGGTGTTGGTTCCTTGCTTTGTCTAAGTGATACTTTTGAGGGGCAGTTGTTTCTAGTTTTTGATGATTAGTCCTAAAGCTGCTATGAATATTTTTGTACAGGTTTTATTTTGTTTTGTTTTGCTTTAGTAAATAACTCAATGTGATTCTTAAATCCTGTAATGAGTGTATATTTAACTTTATAAAAATATGCCAAGCTGTTTTCCAAAATGGCTTGTTCTTTTTCCATGAGCAGCGTTTGAGTTTCAATTATTCTGCATCCTTGTC